CCAACAGGCTAGGTCCATAAAAATGAACTGGGGGAGCCAGCTAACATAGGTAATAAAGGTGGAATACCGCAAATACCTCCAAGCTACCACAGTCCACAGCGTCATAGTAAAGAGGCTTAGATGGAATAAACAGGCACTCTCCCCGTTGGTAGTCCAGGGGTCGCAATAGGAGGGTAGTCCAGGGATCGCAATAGGAGGTAATAAAGCTGTCAATGCTGGTAGTCCACAAGCTGTGAAAGATGGTAATACTGGCAGCAGTTGGAGCCAAGATAACCAATCCAAAAGTCCTAGAAATATGCTTGAGGGCAGTCAAATGGTTAAAGCCCAAGATGATAAGGGACCAATATTGATAGAGGGGACAGCGTTGGTGGAAGTGTTGATGGAGAAGGCAGCGTTGGTAGAGGGAATAGTGTGGGGGGGGGGCTATAATGATGGAAAGAGCCACGATGGAAAAAGCCACGTTGATAACAAAAACAGCGTTGGTGGAAGGAGCAGCATTGTTTAAGAAGGCAGCGTCGTTGGAAGAACTGAACCAAATATGAGGGGGGTGGAAATCCAGAGAAGGCTACGGCAACAGCAGGCTCAGCCAGAAGCCCGATTCGCCTGCTCTGGGTAGGAGTCCTGTTTGATCTCCTCCTTTCTAAAGGCTGGCAAGGCTGGCAGTAGTTGGCCAGCACAGTCCATACCACCTTAAGAGGCTCACCAAGTTCACCCCGCTGTAACAGCTGGAAGGGGAGGATTGAAAAACCCCGCAGATGCTCAAACCGCCGCAAAATGTTTTCAAAGCCTCCGTTTTCCTTACAGAGCCGCCATTCTCACCGCTAAAGACATCGGGACACGCTGGAGTTTTTGATGTCCAAGGCTGGTCAAGGACGCCGGTTCCCTTCAAGTTTCGGTCCACAGACCCCCTGAAGGTCGCTCATCTCGGAGGCCTCAGAAAGAGCGGAACAAAGCCAATTCCTGGAATTCCCCAGCGCTTTTTCGCCAGCTTTTTAGCCGCCATTCCATTCTCTCGCACATGCGAGAGTTATATAAGAAATGTTATGAAAAACTTATCTGTTTGAATCTTAGCGTCCCGTAAGATCTTAATCTGCTCGTTTTCCAAAACCTTCTTAACTTCTTGGTTTTACTATTCAAAACTAAACCTCTAATAGTTTCCAATGAATAATTTTGGCAACTTGATCATGACCCTGCTTATAAAAAGTTTGTGATATATTGCTTTAGTCACTGATCAAATGGTCAATTGTTTCATCCTTTTCACTACAATGGTGACATTTGTTGTTGTCTGTTACATGTTGAATTTTCACCTTCTTCCTTTCCAGACCAACATGGTCACGTATGCCTTAGAGGCCTAGACACCCTCTGCCTTGACTGCTGCAATGAGCTCTAGATGGGGTTGCCTTTGAAAAGTATTCAGAAGTGTCAACTGGCTCAAAATGCAGTGACCTGCATTATTTATTCTAGATTTGCACATGTGTCACCCCTCCTGCAGTGGCTCGATTGTCTGGTGATTTGCTTCCAGGTCCAATTCAAGAAGCGGATTATCACTTTTAAAGCCTACAAGTTGGGGCAGGTTATTTGAAGGACAGTCTTTTCCCAGTTCCACCTACCCAACCCACCAGACTGTAGGCAGGGAATGCTAAGAATCCCCTTTCCTAAGAAGGTCTATATCCTGGGATAATAAAGAAGGCTCTTCTCCATGGTAGCTCCTTCCTCTGTGGAACTGTTCTGACCGAGGCTTCCCGAGGGCATGAAGCAAACTCCTGGTCCTGACAAAAAACCCTTTTATTAATTTACTGTGAATTCTGCTCATTCACATCCTTTCAAGGGAGGATTTACAGTCCCAGACCTTATCTGGCTTGGAGAGCTGCCAGGCCGATATCTGCAAAACCTGGCAAGGAGTCACGAACCAATTAAGCCAACTAATTGTGTCCTGCAAATTCCACTCTCCTTTCGCTCCTCTTTTATTTCCTCTAGGAGGGGCCATTCATCATCCACCTGTGGCCTTACTCCCAACTCGACCCGTTCTTTAGCTGTTCCCTTCATCTGGCAACTGTGCGCATGCGCACACTGGGAATAGGCTCCAACTGTTCGTCTGCCTCACTGATGCCTGACTCTGAAGGCAGCTGATAGCTGGCATAGGGCTCTGATCCCCTCTCTGCCTCCAATACAGAGCCCTCCCCAGATGCCAGGACTGGCCCATGTTCCTCCACAACCTACTCACTACCTCTGGCAGGCCACAACAGGAAACTCCTACCTGCAAAAATAAGATTGGGCCTCCACGTTAACACTCCTTAAGTGTTAAATGTGTTCAGGCCCTGAAGACATGGTTTTGTCAGCAGGCCTAGAAATCCCCAGGGTGATATGGAGCACATCAAGTAGTTGTTTTGATTGCTGTTGCTGGGGGTTGTGATTGTTTTTGTATTGGGGTTTTATTTATATAAGCCACCTGGAGACACCATGAATGAGTTGGGCTGACATATACATTTTCTAAATAATTAGGTGTGCACTCAAGGAGGCAGAAGAGAAACCACTAGAAGGAAGTTATTGGTTTTTGGAAGCACTGAATAATGGAAAGTTCTATGAAAATGAGATTCATTTTATTTGATCTATTCTTTCTGTTCACAAAAAAGGAGGATCTTTAATATACCATCATATTCCTAAAATCCCTAATATAAAAAGTAAAAACTAGAAAAAGCAAAGAAAGATTTGAACTTCAGCATGGTAGGTGATTATATGCAGTGCACCTATATCTGAGCTAAAGAGGTTTATTGCAAGCCTCTCAGCTTTTTGACCATAATTACACATTACATAATTCTCACTAGCTATCCTGCAAATGGACAGTTTTGTAAGACACTCTAGCACCCAAATTAGATCCCGTCATCTTGTTAAACAAAACCACAACTGGGTCTACGAAAACAGATATTGTTTTAACTAAATCAATTTATTTGTTATTTCTAATATCCTTTCATGCACTGTCAGCAAAATTCTCTTCGTTGTATTAGCTACAGATTTGCGCATTCAGTTCAAAGGGGGAAAAGGGGGGGTGGACATGATGCCTTCTCAGCAGCCATTAAGAAATATATTTTCAGTAAAAGAGCATCACAACCTTTTCATCATGCTCTTTAGTAAAAGCTCCCTTTTCAGCATTTCTAGGTATGTAAATGAAGGAGCCATGGCCTTTTGTTTTAAGTTAAAAAAAAGTTCAGAACATTATATGTTGTCACGTATTTACATCCTTTCCTAGAAGAATAAGTAAGAGGTCTTAACACCCGAGTTCAGAGCAGAGGATTTTTACTGCTATGTTCTTGTCTCTGGAAAGATAATAAGGTGCCTAAGTTTCTTCTGCAAGAGCAGCTGTTCTTTCCCATTCCTTATATAATCAGCCTTCATTTACTTGCTTCTCAGAGAATTATGCAACAACATCCCAATATTATGGGATTAATTAAGGGAAAACCTTTTCAGGTATTAATAGAATTGCACAACTGGCCGCATTGGTTGCCCTATTGGTTCACTAACTTTATTGCAAGGTGAATCAAAACAGAGCTGAGAGTGGACACCTTTTAGGCAAACCAAGTGTGGGAATTTTAAAAATAATGAAGATTCAGACAATTCCTATTCCATACAGGTAGAATAGAAGTGGTGAATGAATAGGATACATGTTCTACCCATCTCAGTAAGTAAGCAAGCAAGTAGATCTATCTAATCGTGCCAACTACTGTAATTCAAAGCTCCCTGAATTTCTTGGTAAGAGTCGAGGCATGCATTTAAAAAGAGATTCACATATAAATAAATCATTTGAAATTAAGAGATCTCTTAAGCACTAGCCTTTCAAATAAAAATCGAAAGTATATCCCAAATGATTATCTTTATATGAAAGTAAATCTTAATTCACAATACACAGTAATAATCATACTCACAGGTATGCAAGCATTCCGTTACAGTGGTAGCATCGATAAGATAACCATTGCAAAGGCGGCAGGTTATATGGGCATTGATGTCCCAAAGTTTAATTTTTCTTGTCAGCATCTTTGGTGTCTGTAAGAAAACCAGGACAGACAGGTATTTGAGATATGAATGTCTACTTCTTTTAAAATATCTGACCTTCATAATAAGCCTTGAATGCAGAAAAGAAATTAAAATGATCGAAACAGTTTTCTTCTCCAAAAGAACTTATTTGGGGAAAAACACGGGTGGTTTAAGAATCATGTATAATCATAAAGCTAAAGACAATGCAACAACTGTTATTCTGGGCGTTACACTGCAAGATGTATGGCATTCCACACCACAAACTTTAAATCAACCTACTTTTCAGAAACAGCAAATAAGGTGAATGCACTAGTTTTATCTGTAAACCATATTCTGGAAAGTCTTTCAGAAAATGCTAAGCTCCTAAAAAAATCTATAGTTTTCTGAATCGTATTAGTAGTGTAAGAAAAAGCCAACTCTAGTCAACATATCTTTTCAGATCATTGATTTTTACAAGAATGTACATATAAGATAAACTGTAGAGCATTCGGGGAAAACTAAGTTTCTTACTTAAATATGTTTAGGCATTAACTCCCCACTTTTAAACTATACAGCAATAACTTAAAGTAGTTTCCACAAATTGAAAAATAAGTGCAAAATAATCATTATTTGGGAAAGTCTTCACTAGGTAGACAATTAAAAAATAAATGTCAGATGCTGCATCCTAACTATGCAACTCTTTGCTTCTTTAGTTTTAAATATACCGATCTGTATGATTTTAGCTATCTCTTTTCCTACTTGTGATTTTACTGTTTGTTGTTTTAAAATCTATAAACAGCTTTAAAATTTGAAATTGTTAGTTATCTTGGGATCTCTTCTGGATAAAAAGGTAATTTAGAAAGTCCTATATAAATGTTTATAAAAAACATTCACATCTATCAGAAATAACATAAAAACATCTGCTTTTATTTTCTCACTGGGGAAAACTGCACTAGAGGAAATGAAATAGAGTACTAAATAATAAAGACAGGAGGAAAATATTTTTACCATCTGCTGCAATGAGTTTCTACACGGCAGGTGTCACCAAACTAAGATGTTTTCAATAAAAATTGCTGAGACGTTTTGGCTGAAAAGTTGGAAATTTTTGCAACTTAGTCTTATAATATAATTGCAATTAAGACAGTCAATATGTTTATGACCTTAAGATGAGAATACCTAAAACCAGTGGGGTTTTTTCATATTATACATAGCCAGCTCAATTAGCAGCTTTTCTTCCCCTTCTTTCATTTTATGTCACTAAAAAACACTTGCAGCTTCTTCCCCTCCACACACCCCTATCTTTTTCTGAGCTGCTTTAACAGAGGAGAAGATGTGGCAGGCAGCCAGCTTTCCCTAGTTAGCTGACTGTTGGGAGCCTCACCCCTGGAGTTGGGACAGGGAGGGACCCTGGGGGAGATTTATGGGAAAGGTAGTTCCCCAGGACAGCGAATTAAATTAGAGTGCTGGAGAGGGGACTACAGATTCCAGCAGCTCAGAGAGAGAAAGGGAGGGGCAGCATCAGAAAAGGTGATTGGGGGGGGGGGAAGTATTAAAAGGACTGAGAGGAAACCAAAAATGGAATACTACTATGGGCTAGATTCCTTTGGAATGAGAGAAAAATTGCAACCCCAAGGGAGAGCAACTGTTATATCTCGGCCTGGAGACTGTATCCTAGCTGCCATGAGCAGGGTGGCATTCTTATCCAAAGCATGGTTCCAGAGTAGCTGCATAGTAGCTGCAGAGCCGAGATGCCATAGTGGTTAGAGTGCTGTACTGCAGGCTACTTGAGCTGACTGCAATTCGGCAGTTCAAATCTCACCGGCAAAAGGTTGGCTCAGCCTTCCATTCTTCCAAGGTGGGCAAAATGAGGAGCCAGATTGTTGGGGGAAATAGGCTGACTCTGTAAACCACTTAGAGAGGGCTATAAAAGCACTATGAAGCGGTATATAAGTCTAAGTGCTATTGCTATTGCTAACTTTGGTTCAATTGATCTCCTGAGCCATTGTCCCTGGCTGGAAGAAGTGGACTCCATAAGCCTCTCATTGGGCTTACAGAGGACATGTCTGGAAGACAACAGGATCAGCGAGGGACCATTTGGCCAAAGGACAGTCTTTGGGACCTATTTGCGTGTTTCAACTGAACCCTCCAACCTTTATGCTGGCCACTACTGAGCCACATCAGAGGAACTGGGACATTTTTCATTTGAGCAATGTTGTTCACCATAAGGTTTAGCATTTGATGCTATTGTGCTGTTTAATCAGATTTTATCTTGAGGGCCCCCGTTTTAATGTATTTGTTATGTCGCTGTGTGTCTATTGCATTGATGCTTGTTGCCATTATCTATAGTTGTTGCTTAATTTGATTTTATTTTAAGGACCACTATTTTAATTTGCTTGCTGGGTTATTGTGTGTTTATTGCACCAGTGCTTGTTGTTACCTGTAGTTGCTGTTTAATTTGATTTTTTTTTCTTAACAGCCATTATTTTAATTAAAGCTCATAATTCTCTCCAAGATGTGTTGGTATGCCTGGGCCAGGTGAGGCTGGTCACCTGGGAAAAGGGATAGAAGGACCAGATTGCTAGCACCCCCTTTGGGGAAAGCACTGCATATATTTATATAATCCCTTGCTTTTTTATCAAACATACATGAAATGATTTAGATGTAACTAGAACCAAAAACCAAGAGTGAGTAGAAAAAAGGCAAAATCTTCAAATAATTTACATTCCTTTTCCATTCTCCCTTCAGAGGATTTCTTCAAAATGCTAATTTATTTTAAATAAAAATGTACGCACATCAAGCAAAATATTTTTATGTTAAAATTCAAGGAATTCTGCATGTCTCAAGGCCTGAGGCATTCACACAAAATTGTGATGTGAGCTTATCATATCACTGATAGAATATAAATATAATAGCTAACCAAAAAAACCTCTTTTATTTGCTTATCTTCTTTTCTCTAGGATCAGCCAAATGTTTATATAATAAGATTTAACCATTATCATTCCCTCACCAGCTAATGTACCAATTAATTACCCATTGTGCAAGGAAGTAAACAAAGATGCAAGTCATCTACTTAATCCAAAGTACAATGAAACATATTTTCCAAAATCCACAATCAAGTAAACAATGTACCATGGATCTGAGATTCCAATGCCCAGAGGTAAAAATTGAACAAGTTAAACTAATCCTCAAAGAATGTAACTTAATCCTACCTAATCTATGAAAATAGAAAATTCAATTGCTTCAGGAAAACCAAGGCATGAATTGAGTTTGGACTAGCAACTGTAATGGTTCAATCTGCAATCAGGAGTACCATATTTAATAATTCAATTGTCAGATAATTTACAATTTACAATCTTCATAGCAATAGCACTTAGACTTATATACCGCTTCATAGGACTTTCAGCCCTCTCTAAGCGGTTTACAGAGTCAGCATATCGACCCCACAATCTGGGTCCTCGGAAGGATGGAAGGCTGAGTCAACCTTGAGTCGGTGAGATTTGAACCGCCGAACTGCAGATAGCTGTCAGCTGAAGTGGCCTGCAGTACAGCACTCTACCCACTGTGCCACCTCGGCTCTCATCCTAGTCTGTTGCTGACTTCTTTGATATCTTAAAAATTAAAGCCTCTCCAATACTATTTCTGTGAAAAACTGTGTCTTCTGTTGAGCAAGTGGAAAAGCAATTTTCACTGAAAAATGGCACCAAGAAAATATTACATTTAAGAGTTCATTGCATCTGAAAATGCAACTATGAAACAAATATGCATATGTATGGACTGATATTTTATATCAAGATATTAATGATATTAATGATATTAATGGATACACACACACACAGACACACATGTTGGTCTTTTCCCGTGTAAGATTGGGATTGTCTTGGCAATGTTTCAGCGAGGTCTCACTCGCCATCAATTTATCAGCAATAGTTGTTGTCATTGTTGTTATTCCCCCACCAGCAAAAAATTGCAGTGCTTGCTTTCAGAGAAAGTCAGTCAACACAACCATTTTGTTCATTTCCTTATTTTTGCCTTCTTACACAATACATATATTTAAAACCTTGCACTTGGCCTAATTTCTCAACTGAAGAAAACAAGTTTATATATACTGTACCTACAACGTACTGATTTGCATAGTTTTCTTTTATTTCTAAATCATGTGGAAGACTTCACTTCTTTTCCATGTTTCACCAACTGTGTAAAGATGGCTATTTTACATGATGCTAGCATGAAAATGAGACTGCAGCAATTATTTTATAAATCTGTGTGGCTTGCACATTTGTGTAAATGCAGTTATCAAAGTACTATTTCTAAAATATTAGTGACCAATCCTAAACTGGTAGATCGTCTGTTGGGTTCACTAATTCCCAAATTATAGCTACAGGAAAGAACAGGCATTTTATTTTGAAAGGTTCTGTAAGCTGAATGCCCACCCACAGAGTTGACTGTATACCCCATTGCTTTATGAGTCACTTTATGTGACTAGTAGCTCAGATGAACTTCCTTTTCAACAGTTTCTGCAGAAAGCTCCTTTCAGAGGTGTGTCTACATTGAATGCAGATGAACCTTTCACTTGATCTGCATGGGAAGTGAAGCAATTTTCCCATAGATTTATTAAGTGTTTCAATTTCCCCATAGATTTATCAAGTATTCCTTGTTAACGATTACATTATTTTGACTATTGTTCCTCCGATGACTAACCTAACTACTAAAAACTTGCTTGTTAAACTTTATGCAACATGTCAAAATCACTAGCATGAAAGAGCACTTGCCAATAACAAAAATTCCCTAATTCCTATTAGCAGGATAAATGATATGGGAAAATTCAAATATTTCCTGTGATTTACATTTAAATAGGTTTTAGTCCAACTGAAACACTTTCACACATCAAATATTATGATTAAAACAATGAAAGTATTCCTTTTTAGTTTCAACACAGCTATCACACTGTAGCACTTGAAGCCAATATAAAAACAGCTTATACCTGGCCTGGGGGAAAAAACAGGATGTTCATATTAGAAATATTGTAGCCATATTAGGAGAAACCATAGCAATTTTTCTTGTATATATCAAAAATAAACATATCCTAAAGAGAAAAGGTTTTGAGTTTTTTTCAGAACACCCTTTAGATACTTTTATATGTAATTCTTCACATACTGAGGGGAAAATATTTTTTTTCTTTAAGCATACCTCTTAAAACAGCATTTCTTTTCAGTGTCTGCCATCCAGAGACCTGAAAAGATAGAAAAACAAATCTGAAAATGAACACTGTAACTACTTAGAATACACTGAAGGAAATTCAACAGTATTTATTAATAGAAAAATAATAGATGAAGAAATATTTGTTTTTAACATGAAAATGATTAATTTCTGCTGGAAATCAGTGGCTACAATCTAGTATGAATTAAATATTGCTAAATAAAACTGATGCCATTCTTTCTACCACCACATGGTGACAGATATGTGATGAGTAATGTTTTTCTATTAAACTTTCGTCAGCTTAAAATCAAGTAGATTTTGACCTAACTTTGATATCAAAAAGCCAGTGCATTTTGTTAAGTAAAATAGTGCATTCAGTAAAACATCTCCCAAGATCCATACAATGCTAGTTCATTCCAGTATTTAAAGGTCTAAATATATTTCTTGTATCAAATTAAATAATTTATCTATGCTGCCAAAATGTATTCTCACGTTTATAGTCCATATGTTTTCCCGAGGAAAAGACAAACACAATTTCAGCTCTATGCAAAACAATCTTTAACCCGAAATGAGCAAACAACAGCATGGCACTTGACCTTAATTACTTAAAATGGTCTAAAAGAGGTACTCAAGAGCTAATAAAACTATTAACTAATAATGAGAGTTAGTAATAAATAGGAGGCCCCTAGAAAGGGCTGTTCACTTTTTCCTGGATAAGAAGACTGTTTCTGAACAAGTTCAGCTTTAACTTGCAGCTTCAATCCCAGTTTTGAAAAGTGTTTTTTTGCAAATACTGTGTGCATTCTATCACTTCTCCAGCTCCTGTGCACATAGTATGCCTTTTGACCAAAATTTCAGAAACAAGATCGAAGACCATGTAAAGAAATATCTTGAGAGGACTTTTCAATGTTTCCTTAATTCTGTCAAAATAAAGCCCAAGTCTTCAGAATGAACTACAACCAAGCACAATTGGCCAAAGTATACACAAATAGCCTTCAGAATTATTATCCTTTTTAAATGAAAGAAACGATTCATCTTCAAGGTCTACAAGATTTCATAGATCTTCCAAGTTCTGCCTTTCAGCAAAGTCACTGGATATACAGGATATATACAAGATGATTAATATTAATCACAACTTGATTTAATATTTTTAGTTGGATATCTATTATCCAACAAAAAGGTACCACTCATGGACTTACATTTGGCATTATGTAAGTAAACACCTATAAATATGGGACCAATGATTTTCAAAAATTCTTCTATTATAAAAGGATAATACAGCTAGGACTGGTTATGGCCCACTGCTGAAATGGTTAAGGTATTTTATTGTGAAGAAATCACCTGCTGCAGTTCCTTATACAGGTATTCCTCAACTTACTACCACAAAATTTTTGTTGTTAAATAAGGCATTTGTTAAGTGAGTTTTGCCCCATTTCATGACCTTTCTTGCCACAATTGTTAAGTGAATCACTGCAGTTGTTGAGTTAGTAACCTAGTTTGCAAAAGGGATCATGTGATCTTGGGACACAATAACTGTCATAAATATGAACCCGTTACCAAGAATCTGAATTTTGATCACATAATCATGAAGATGCTTCAAAGGCCGCAAATGTGAAAAACGGTCATATGTCAGTGCTATTGTAACTTTGAATGGTCACTAAATGAACAATAGTAAATTGAGAACCACCTGTAGATTTTATGTTTCTTACAATAGATCTGCATATATACATCAATGCACTTTTCAAGAGTACGGAAACATTTTACCACACTTGGCTGAATCCTTAATAAGATTATTTGCAAAAGCTATTAACAAATGAGTCCTAGGCGCTCTGATAGTAAGCTGATTCTCTGATAAACATTTGGTTTAGTTCACATTGCTGATGGGTGTTACATACATGCACAGAAATACATGCATACACAAACCCATCTACAAGACAGTGGTGGTTAAAAGTTCATGTATTTTTGCCACACATATTTCTCAATAAAAAAATTGATAGATGTAATGTTTTGGATTCTTTTTTTAGTTTTCTTTATTTTGCTTTAGGACTTGGGTAGAGAACAAATCACATTTAGGTCATATTTATGCAGAAATTTTGAAATTTCAAAAGGGTTCACAAATTTTTAAGCATCACTATAGTGTGTGTGTGTATGTGTGTGTGTGTGCGCGCGTAAGTTTTGACTAAACAATCACAAATGACCAATTAAGCATCATTTGTTCAAAAACACCCATTATTATATAATCATATACCATTTCCTTCACCTTCTTCTCAGCATCCTTTAGTGAACAGATGGTGCCAAATGAATGGATCAGAACTGCCTGGTTAATTAAGTGGTGTAAAAAAGTCTAGCCTCATTTGCCTGCAAAGAGGATAAGCACAGTGGGAGGGAAGAAGACGGATTTCAACTTCCCCTAGTCATATTGTCACTCAACCTAAGTAAGCTGTTGACCAAACCCTGCAGTTCTTACTTTTTGAATGGAAAGAAGATACAAGCCCATATCCAAAATGGAAATGATGGGCAGAGTTCAACTTATCAAGTCATCCAAAAGCTAACTGAAAAACAACTCTACGGAAACACTGGAATCTTTTGAGACTTCAAAAATGGGGCTTACTAATTTTGGGGACAAATGAGTAAAAAGTCATTTGTCTGTAGCATAGTATATAGCATTATACTACATATTAATAGAATTCTGATTCTAGTAGTATAACTATCGTAAAACTAGAATCAATGAAATATTGTTAAAGGGAAAACATTCAAGTACAAAAAAGGGCTCCAGATGGCTTAGCATTTTTTTTTCAAAGATTCTGAGTGTGGATGGATGGATGGTTGGATGGACGGACAGAGAACTGCATAACACCACAACTTCAATCTCTCCTACAGTTTACTAAGGTGTGATCAATGCTCCCAAAATCCTTGAAAGGAGAAGTTGTGGCGTGTAAAAAAAAAAGTGTTCATGTGCCAATATCAACTTCCTCTTAGAAATATTGCAGTTTCTGAATATCTCAGAGACATTGTTCCACCCATTTAAACTTTCTGCAAATCTACGAGAAGTCTTTCATCAGAAACTTGTTCAATTCACTTAATAATACAAGCAGCTTTATGAAGACAGCAGTGGCTCTGGCAAATTTAAGCTCTTTTGTGAAAGCATGCCAGTAATAAAAATAAAAAAGTGACAGGTTAAGATGAAAAGTAAACCCTATCATAAATTCAGAAACAGAGTTAGCTTTCTTTTACACCTGGAATGCATACCATGTCCTGGTGGTCTTACTATCCAAGTTTGAACCTGCTTAACTTTTTGAGATCAGCTAAAATTGATTAAGCACTGCAACATACATGTTTGTATAACATATGGAGTCCACAGTTTTTGGTACAATTCACAGAATTTCTCCCAGAATTGCAACTAAAATCTCTTTTAAAAATGGCACAGCAAGAAAATAATTAAATAATCATATTAAATGATCTTGATTAAAGTTTAATTAAATTTAAATTTAATATTTTATTCTGGTGACTTTTACTACTTTTTTTCTCTAGTCCTACTTCTTGGCAGTGCAGGTTCTGGTAAGGCAACGAAAAAATAAGAATAACCGTTAGCCTAAAAACCTAGTTCAATTACTTGTTCAATTGCTTTAATAGGAGAGCTGACACTAGGACAGGGCTTCATTAATCAGAGATACAACAAGTAGCTTGCTTCTTGTACTTCCTTTACACAGATACTTAATTTGAATTACTGTTCTTCAAGAGGTCTCAACACCAAAGAAGTACAACAGGAGCAAACCACTTTACACTCTCCAAGTGCTTTTAGATTACACTTCATAGAGTCTGTAAATTATTGGTCATTTTAACTGTGGATTATAAAACTTAAAGTGCAATAAAAATAGAGGGTACCACCACATAGTCTGGAGAAGCAGAAAAGAAAGCTTAAGGAAGTGATATAAATCTGACATAATTAAATAAATAAGCCAGAAACTGATTTTGCATCAAATCACAAAAAATCTCTACTGAATCTGGTTTTCTAAAATTACCAAAGTATTTTTAAAATGCAAAATTATTCCACCACTCTGCCCATAGTATGAAAGATCTCCCCAAAGATTAATGAGTACAAAATATGAAATATACTAAGCCAACAAGCAACAACAACAAAAAAGGAAACACAGTGGTGAAAACGCAAGATGGAATTTAATAAGAGAAAAAGCACTGTGAGAGATGGCCTTGACATATTTCTGAGCTCCAGAGAACCTAGTTATTTATGGAAGAAAAGTATGCCTATCAGCCAAAACAGAATTAAATCAATCCCCAAGATCTTAACGATGGACTTATGGTATACAAGCAAAAGCGGCTTCTGTGACACATAAAGCTAAAGGTTTGAAGAGTTTTAAAAGCCTTTGCAAAAACTGAAATGAATCTGCATAGACAATTGCTATGAAGTACAAATTAACAAGTACAGTATACTCTTTTGGAGCTCATCCTCTCAAGCGTCCTATCCTGTTTTGAATCAAATGTTTATTCATGAGAACTGGAAGCGCAAAATGTAATAATACATTTCACGTTCATGGTAAAGTCACGTTCATGGTACTGTTCTTCCCATCTGATCATCTTTACAATTCAAAAAGTCTTTATTAAACTAATGAGATTGCCATCTTGCTAGTCCTCAAGGGCAGCTTGAGAAGATTCATTCCCAACTTGGGATGGAAATTCTGGCGTTCTGAAATATTAAAGGATAATATGGCAGGATATTCTGGTTTGGGTATAAAGTTCCTTGGCTCATAACTATGTCCTACTTTTGCTTTGTTGCAGAGTTTGTGACATAATAGAATGACTTAAGGTGCACCAAATGTTTCAAAATTCCTTTAAAAATTATCAGTTAACTAAAAATACCATACAACTGGTTTTACAGCATACAGAAAACTTTTCCAAATTCTTCTGGTAGGGCTGGTTACAAACAAATACATTAAGCAATAAAATTTCATACATGAAGTTTACCCTACAATACAATGATTATACATTCTGAGTTTGCAATCATTTGCATACTTATCC